CCCCCAATCGACTCTTGCACTTAAACTGGGGGAATGTTGCATCGATCTGAAAAGGTGAAAATGGGGGGCAAGTCTGGACTATGGGGCGCGTGGTAAGACCTTCCATCCTACCTCTAGTTCCTTCAAGAGGGTTTGCCGTGTGAGCTGGAGCATTATCACGGGGGAGGGGGGGGGGGGGGGGGATTTGGGCCTTTCCACGCAAAATTTCGTCAACCTTCTTGAGTTGTTGAATAAAATAAGATGAATCGACTGTTTTTCCGGGCTCTAATAATTCAAAATGAACAAGTCCATTGATATTCCCCAGCAAGACAACATCACTTTGCGCCCATGATAATCCGCCTGGGGGCTGAACTTGCTCTCGCCATTGTCTTTCTCGAGAAGATATTGTATCAAATACCTTAAAGGATTACGGTAATTCTAGATTTATTAAAATCATTTTACAAAAAAAGTTATAAAGAAAGAAAGGAAAATGTTAAAGCAAAAGGAAAAGAAAGAAATTCATTTAGATAAATGATGATTTACTGAGTTTAGTTAAAACGAAATTTCACAACAAAAATCCCCTTTCCTTTTTTCTTTTTCTTTTTCCTTGTCTACTCAAAGCTTTTGGTCCAATTGATGTGAGGAAATTTTACGAAATATCCCCCCTCCAATCCCCTCTTCCCCCCCCCTTCCCATTTTCTGTGTTTTTGTTCCACTATGTCTAAAGCACAAATAATAAAAAAAATGGGAAATTATGTAGTTACCGATAGTTTTCTACTAGTAACCTAGTAATCTAGTAAAACCTAGTAAAACCTACTAGTAACCTAGTAACTTAGTAACCTAGTAACCTAGTAAAACCTAGTAAAACCTACTAGTAACCTACTAGTGCCTTTTAGCTTAGGCTTAATCAAATTTTTTTAGAATCAAATACAGAACCTTAAGTCGATCTGATAATCGGAAGTCGAATTATAGAGTAAAATAGAGCGCTAAAGTGCCATTTTGACTATAGAAAAACGGCACTTTAACGCACTACTTTTCAAGACGATTTTTCTCTATGTTTTTATCAATGAGTCTACAAAACAAATTGTACTTTTCTATAGCCAAATTTAATGAAGATTCTATTAAAACCAACCATAAGTTGATTCAGCTTCTATACCTCGAGTTATAGACCATCTAGGTTGATTGACTTCTGTAGGTAGGTAGTTCAACTTTGACACTAATTTTCTCTATGTTCTTACACTTGAGTATACAAAACAAATTGTACTTTTTTATAACCAAATTTCATAAGGATCCTTTTAAAACCAACCTTAAGTCGATCTGATAATTGAAAGTCGAATTATAGAGTAAAATAGAAGAGAGCGCTAGTGCGATTTCGACTATAGAAAAACGGCACTTTAGCGCACTACTTTTCAAGACGATTTTTCTCGATGTTTTTATCAAAGAGTATACAAAACAGATTCCACTTTTCTTTAGTCAAATTTAATGAGGATTCTTTTAAAAGCAATTACAAGTCGACTCAATTTTGATACCTCGAGTTATCAAGTGTTGAACTTGATTGACTTCTGTATATATAAAGTAGTTCAACTTTGATACAAATTTGATCTCTCTTAAGCTCTTAACACTCCTAAAAGTATTCTATCACTTGTACGAAAAAGCACAAGTTGTTTAAGCTTTTTTTTTGAGTGATTTTAAAATGTGAAAATCTGGAAGAAGTACATTAGCACCAAAGAAACAGCAACCAAAGCTTTCTCTTGGTATTTGTGATATTGTTGAAGATAAGTTAAAGATATTGTTTAAAGAAATTGTTTTAAGATATTGTTTAAAGATATTGTTCAAAGATATTGTTTAAAGAAATTTGTTTAAAGATATTGTTTAAAGATATTGTTTAAAGATATTGTTTAAAGATATTGTTTAAAGATATTGTTTAAAGATATTCTTAACACTGTGAATCATTCTAAAGCAACTTCTTTCCCTCATTGTCCTTACAAAGTAAAAGAGTTTTTGTAAATCCTTAAGTTCAACTACGAAAAATGGAAGAAACTGTTGTTCAGCATCAAAACACTTTTTCAATGATCCGAAGAAGTGATTATACAGAAAAACAAGAGAAGCTGTGAAACGCGTTGGAAATCGATTGATTGACTAACATAGGGAGAAAGGGGAAAATGAAAGAGATGAGAAAAGAGGCTGGTTGTTGTATGGGAGGGGATGGTCGGCCAGCTGACACGGGGAGAACAAGGGCGGTGGGGGAGCTCTCCCCTCACCCCACCGTTCATCGAAATGTTGTTTGGACTCTTGTTCTCAGTGTTTTTTCTTCTTTTTCAATCCCGTTTTTCAGGGAGTTTTTGCTGATAAACACCTCCTTTTCTTCTCTCCTTGAATTTGATTTGTTTTGGCTATTTTGAATTTTTTTTTTATTTAAATGAAAAGTCATTAGCGGTTGAATTTGTGGAAAAAATTTCTGTAAAGGAAAAAGTTTGTTATTTTGATAATAAGAATTGTTCATGCAAACAATGAAATTGAGAGAAAAAATCCAAAGTAAATTGTATTCAGAAAACTGTTTGTTTCCTGTAAAATATCATGATTTTCTGAATAAATTTATTATTGGAACCGTATTGGATCCGTAATGGATCCGTAATGGAACCGTATTGGAACCGTATTGGAAGCTTAAAAGGAACCGTATTGGAAGCTTAAAAGGAACCGTATTGGAAGCTTAAAAGGAACCGTATTGGAACCGTATTGGAAGCTTAAAAGGAACCGTATTGGACGCTTAAAAGGAACCGTATTGGAACCGTATTGGAACCGTATTAGATCCGTATTAGATCCATATTGGATCCATATTGGAACCGTATTGGAACCGTATTGGAATCATATTGGATCCGTATTGGATCCGTATTGGATCCGTATTGAAACCGTATTGGAATCATATTGGATCCGTAATGGATCCGTAATGGAACCGTATTGGATCCGTAATGGATCCGTAATGGAACCGTATTGGAACCGTAATGGATCCGTATTGGATCCGTATTAGATCCGTATTAGATCCATATTGGATCCATATTGGAACCGCATTAGAACCATATTGGAACCGTATTGGAACAAAATCTGAACCGCATTGGAACCGTCTTGGAATAAATTTCTGAATAAATGATCTTGGCTTTAACAAGAGTGAGCTTACAATTAGAACTAGAGCAGGTCCTGTAAGCCTGTAAGTCAAACTAGGACATGCTTAGCTTCTAGCCGGACTAGACTAGACTCTAGACTAGCCCACCTGTTGTGGGCATTCATTGTGGAAAAATCGTGAACAAAAAATAAGTGCCACGTTGAATAAAAGCTGACCAAAGTGGCAACGAAAGGAGGCAAGGAAAAGAAATGAACAGAAAGCCCATCGTGAACATCACGTGATACGAGGAAGAGATTGACGGAAAAGGGGAAAATGACACAAGAACTAGCCGATGATTCCAGAATCGTCTGGGGGTTTTCGGAAAGGAAATATGAAGAAAAAGCTTGTTTTGATGCGTTTGTGTCTAGTCAGATCAAAGAAAACACATATTGAAAAAGAAAGAGCTTGATCAACGTTGGCTTTTTTTCAACTTTAGTTTGAAATTTCGATATGAAGGGATTATATCTCCATTCATAGAAGTTTCATAGAAAGAATAAAAGAATAAATAGGAATTTATCTCCTCATAAATCCCTTAAACTGATGATGTATGATGAGCGGTACCCATGTGCTTTCTATTTCTCCATTTAGCTGCACCCAAAAGTTTTTCTATAGTTGAATAGTGTGGTCATCCGGTGATACGAAATTGTACTTGTTGTTTACTTTCGATTTTCATTTGGAGGATATATATTTCTATTGGAGAAGGCGGGCTCAGTGGGAGAATATAATATGGTACCGAAATTCATTAGACACTAAAATCTACCTGTCCAACTTGTCCAATCTACTTGTCCAACCTGTCCAACTTGTCCAATCTACCTGTCCAACCTGTCCAACTTGTCCAATCTACCTGTCCAACCTGTCCAACTTGTCCAATCTACTTGTCCAACCTGTCCAACTTGTCCAATCTACCTGTCCAACCTGTCCAACTTGTCCAATCTACCTGTCCAACCTGTCCAACTTGTCCAATCTACTTGTCCAACCTGTAACTTGTCCAATCTACCTGTCCAACCTGTCTAACTTGTCCAATCTACTTGTCCAACCTGTCCAACTTGTCCAATCTACCTGTCCAACCCGCCCAACTTGTCCAATCTACCTGTCCAACCTGTCCAACTTGTCCAATCTACCTGTCCAACCTGTCAACTTGTCCAATCTCCGTCCAACCTGTCCAACTTGTCCAATCTACCTGTCCAACCTGTCCAACTTGTCCAATCTACTTGTCCAACCTGTCTAACTTGTCCAATCTACCTGTCCAACCTGTCTAACTTGTCCAATCTACTTGTCCAACCTGTCCAACTTGTCCAATCTACCTGTTCAACTTAGTTTCTTAAAGTGCACTCCCTTTTACCGTAATATAAAAAGGCTTTATGGGGTTTTAAAAAAGATAAAAAAAACGTTTAAACTTGTTTTAGCTTTAGTTCTCTAATAGATCACTTTACATTTGAAATTTGAAAATTTTCCATTGAACTGTCAAAATAAGAGGCTTCAGTAGGAAATGGAAATCTTATTTTTATGTAAAAGATTTTCAAATAGTATTTTGATTAGTAAAAAGTGAAAAAATTTTATCTAATTAGCAAATTGAATAGATTGAAGCAAGTTTAACGTGGAATCTCTCTTTTTCTCTAATTAGCAAAGCAATTGAATAAATTGAAGCAAGTTTAACGTCGAATCTCTCTTTTCTCTAATTAGCAATTAAATAAATTGAAGCTAGTTTAACGTGGAATCTCTCTTTTCTCTTTGATCAAATCTCTCTTTTCTATGTTCAAAATCAAAAATTTTTGCTTAAAAAACAAATTCAAATTCATTTATTTAAACGAGAAACAGAAATAAAAGAATAATATAAAGTTAGCAGTTCGAAAATCCTTTATTGCGCATTGAGTTTTTGTGTTTCATCACTGAGATCGAGTGGACGAATGAGCACGTAACTCATCTTTGTGTACATTCTATAAAAATTGAGGAATTGAGTGAATACGATCTAAAATGAATGAACTTTTAAAAACTAACGTAATCTAATTCATCTACTTTTTATGTTCTCTCTTATCCTTTGCAAAACCTTAACAGAATCAGATTAAAAGTAGATCTCTGAGATTACGCCAATTGAAAGTTAACACGTTTCAGAAAACGTTTTAAATAAATGCTAGCTGTACTGTAATGTAATTAGAGGCTTACAGCACCTTTGATAAGCTATTGTAACTTTATAAAGTTATTACTTTATATAATAACTTTATAAAAATAAAGTAACCAATGCTGAAATGTTACCTAGTTAATGGAGCCGTTCGTTGAAAGATCTCGCGAGCAACCAAGCTGCGCTCTGACTAGAAAAAAGGTCAATTTACATATATTACATACCGTAAATACTGTAATAGTACCCCACCCCCCTTGTACAGTCGCGTAGTCGCAAAAGGTTTTTCGTATTTCATTTTTTTCAAAGCACCCGTACTTTCAAAAAAATGCGTCTTTTGTATCAAAAAATAGCTGAAATTCAGGGCTATTTTTTGATACCTAAGCGCGCCTTGTATCATAAACCAGTGTCGAGAAAAACTCGTTCAAAGCTAGACTACGCAACACTCCGCACCGTCATTGTGGCGGTGGGGTACTATTACAGTATTTACGGTAAGTATCCAAAATCTATTTAACAGATTAATCTCTTACATCAGGAGTTGTATTGTAAAGAGATTGAGAGATGGCTAAATTGGAGACAACGAGACGAAAGCGTTTGTTTGTCATCTCATGCAAGTCCTCTGGCCATTCGACTCTCGATGGGATAAGCATTTCAATCTGAAATTCGAAAAATCAGCATAAAAGACTAAAGAAATACCTTCATTTTTCCCTTTTCTGCAATGAGACCGTGTGCGTGTTTAACGATCGGAAAATGGCGGTCCTAGAAAGGAAAAGAATCATTTTTTTGAAAGTATTAAGATAAGAACTACGTTGCAACGCTCTAGATGCTAAATCTAATAGATAGATGTACTTAGAGTCCAACGCGTTGCACTCTAAGTACATCTATCTATTAGATTTAGCATCTAGAGCTATAGTAATTTAAAGTATCTATAGATAAATGAGTACGAGAAACTGTAGACAAACTGTAGACAGAAGTTAGAGCTCTGAGTTTTGAAGAGCTCTGAGGTTTTGAAGAGCTCTGATTATACCAAGGTTCAGAATACAGTATACTCGTTACAGTATACTCTACAATCAGCTAAAATACTTATTATTTAAAAGACGCATAAGTAAAATAAAGTTTTAAAAGAATTCTTAACCTTTCCCTTGATAACGAAAGCGATTGGAAATGGGTCGACGTTCTCCAATTCGAAACAAGAGAGTACCGGCTGTTGGAAAGCGTTCATCGAACGGAAGATCATCCATCTAAAAATATATACCGTATTTTCTCTAATTGAATTTGGAATTGAATAAAGTCGATAATGCCGATGTTGGCTTTGTTGATTGAATACTTTAATCAAACTACAGTATGTGAAAAAGTAAAGTACTCAATAAAATGAATACCGTATTTTCTCTAATAGTATTGCACCCTAAGCATTGCCTAAATTCCTCGAGATCTTGAAAAGCGCTTATCAGAACCTATCGATGTGGGGTCGGAAAATGTAGCTGACAATGAGATCTAGTGGGGGATTTGAGTGTTGAGTTTCTTGGGAAAACTTGGAAAGCGTAAAATAGTGATCAACTCGGCTCGCCGGAGTGCACTACTACTAGAGAGAATACACTACTACTAGAGAGAATTGTTTTTGACGCTGATCACGAAACACATGTTTTTAGCCTAGGTTTCTGCACGGAAAACTAACGAAACGTGAAAACAGCTATTTTTTGGCTCTGCCGCCCTTTACTAAAATAGTTGTAAAAACTTTTAGAAAAGAGATATCCCAAAACGGTTTTTACCAATCGATCCGTCTTGAATTCAGCTTTCGGATGAGCTATAAAACGTCAAAATTCGACAAATTTAAGGTACTCTCCCAAAAAATCCGAAAGGACTTTTCCACCAACCCAATAGATGGAAGGAAAACAAGAGAAACAAACAAGAGAAACAAACAAATGAAATGGACAAATAGGGTTACGATTAAAGGTCCACGCTTTAGAGAACACTTAAGTTAACAACTAAATCATCTGGGAAATGATTTAAAACAACTATTCCCAACAATACAGTCTTGAGCTGAAAACTGGACAGTAATTTAAAGTTGTTAAAGTTGTTAAAGCTGTTAAAGATGTTAAAGCTAGAGAAAATAATATATATTATAAAGAAAGTGATTAACACTAGAGTTATCTCTTTAATTTCAACTTTTACTTCGAAGTTGCAGAGTTTCCGATAAAAATTCTCCAAGTTCTTAGTCTTGAACTTGCTAAATATTTACTCAATGCTTATTGCATTTTTTCAATGATCTCTTAAGTGGTCAATCTCATTTTGAAATGCTCTTTGCTGTCAGGGAAAGATTTAAGATTTTTTGGGAGGCTTTCAAGCTACTTTAAATTTACAAAAAAGTTCTCATACCTTGGCGTGATTCGGAGTTCACTGTCGGGCATTTCTCCACTTCGAGGGATCGCCGTTTCCATTGACGATGATGACATCTTAAAAGTTTGTAATCTAAAAGTAATCTAAATTAAAGTAATCTAAGAAAAAAAAACGAACGTTTTAAGGGGAATAAAGCTATGAAAATGAGGCTTTATTGCTTGGTTTTGCTCGATTTTGCTCGATTTTGAAATAAATGTAAATTTTGTTTTTTTGACTTGTAAAATTGCTGTGCTTAACACGTTGACGACAATGGCGTTTTTGCACAAACAATCGCATGGGACCACGTGGTTTTTTTTCGACAAAAAATGTCACCTGACATCAGGTGACAATGTCCCACAGAGTTCTTTTTTTTCAAACTTAAAATTTTTGTGAAAGTTTAAAATGATTATTTGATAATTATGAAATAACAATAATCTAAAAAGTTTTATTCATTGGTGATGTTTCTAAGTAGGAGATAACTAGCACTTATCGCCGTTGGCTCTCTAAATAATTCCAGATCGTAAGGGCTGGTGACTATAAATCACCACGGATGTCCTATTCTTATCAGTAATTTTCCTATTCTATCAGTTCCTATCAGTAATTTTCCTATTTTCCTATTCCTATTGCACGGATATCCTATCAGTAATTCTAGTGCATATAGATAGAGTCTATGGCGACTACTGATGACGACTTCGAAGATCTAAATCTGAACTTCGATGATCTTTTGATCGAAAGCGAAGACGACGAACCAGGGACAGCCGACAACGCCCTGACGCAAGCTTTGGTTTTGCCCGTCGATTACGACTCGGAAGAAGACGACGACTACGAAACAGAAACTGAAGAAGAGGAAGATTCCGAAATATGGACCGAAAACGCTGTGACACACGATCGTTTTAGTTTCACACAGAAATGTGGACCCCATCAAGACGTTGCTGATTGTGAACACCCAATAGACTTCTTCAAGCTTTTCATGACGAATGAATTGTTGGAGCTGATAGTCACAGAAACTAACAGATATGGTCTCCAGAAAATGACCGAGAAAAAAAAGGAATGGACAGGCGTCTCTGTAAAAGAACTTGAACAATTTTTGGGAATCTGCCTTTATATGGGAGTCGTACGGTTGCCCAAACTTCGAGACTATTGGTCCGGTAAGCCCATTTATGGGAATTCAGTCGTCGCCAAAACAAACAACAACGCACGCGTCAGACTCCTCTAATTTGTCGAAGTGCCATCCGTTCCAGTCCCAGGCTCACTTTATATGACGCGTGCGAAATTCTACATTTTTCTCTCGAAGTAGTAACAGTTTGGCAAGTTAGAGGCGTCTGACATGCTTGAATCTGATTCGTAGGGGTCTCGAGGAAAAGATTTTGACCATTATTTTTGCACCAACTTTTGCAGGGCCTATAACTCGCGTACTAGAAGTCAGTGGCAAAAACGGAATTCGGGTTCTAATCCTCTCGAAGAGACGCTTCAAATAAGCTATAGCAAGGCCACAGCAAAAGGCCACAGACCCCGCTGATCACTCCCTTGTTAGTTGTAGTTCTTATTGCTCTTATATCTATTATGTTATAAAAAATTAAAATTTTAATAATCAACGGTTAAATCGACATTTTCCGGGACCAAGTCGAATATAGATACTACCATACTTGCTTATTTAATATCCATCATCAGCAAACATAAATATGCACAAAAAAAATCAATTTTGGTACTGTCACCTGACATCAGGTGACAATGTCCCAGGCGAACGAATATGCGTCAGACAGCATCAGGTGACAATGTCGTCAACGTGTTAAACGATTTTTGATCTCTTTTTTGAGGAAATTACTGAATATTGTCAGCTCCGCGCCAAGCTGATATTTTAGTTACTATTGTTATTATTGAATGCTTTGTCTAATCTTATGCAAATGTGTTCTCCTCTGTGCTTATCCCTTTTATTGCCGAGAAGGGGCGGTCCTTAGGATTGCCTAGGAGGACAAGTGAGACTCTCATTTGGAGTCCCCCCTTCCCCTTACACTCATTTCTAATCTATTCATCTTATTGTATTACTGTAAATAAAGATACATATTCCACAAGAGAAAATGAAAAAGCTGAATTGCTGAAAGAAAAGCCGGCAAATTCACTTCAGAAATCATTGAAATCCATAGAAATCTCATCGTTTTTGCTTTTCCTTAAGATTTTTGTTTCTAAAAATTGCAATTGCTCTAAATTCCAAAGTTCCAAAAAGTTTTTTCGTTACTTTCGTTGAAAAATAACAAATTCATCAATTAATCTGATATTCTTGAAATAAAAAGTGTTTATTGGTCAATTTTCCATCTTTTTAAGTCGATTTCTGTTGACTTTTGAGCAAATTCAAAAGTGTCAGATCCGAGCCAAACTGATATTTTAGTTACTATTGTTATTATTGAATGATTTGTCTATTCTTATGCAAATGTGTCCTCCCCTGTGCTTATCCCTTTTATTGCCGAGAAGGGGTGGTCCTTGGGATTGCCTAGGAGGACAAGTGAGACTCTCGTTTGTCAGAGTGAGAGTCCTTGTCAGACTCTCAGAGTCCCCCCTTCCCCTTATACTTATTTGTAATCTATTCGTCTTATTATACTACTGTAAATAAAGATACATATCTTCCGGGTCTATGCAACTGCAGGTCGGTACAGGTACAGGTCGGTCATTTCACAGGGACTCCCCTCTAATACGTTGGAGGAGTTGAGTTGGGTTGTCGGGGTGTTAGAGATGGCGGGATATCAAAAGGGATCCACTCTCTTTAACTTAACCCAAATTCTAGTCCACATCCGTTTACACCTAGGAACGTATAATATTTTGTTTTGTTTTAAATTATTCTCACGAGACTGAGAAAAATTCTTGAGATTTTCGTTATTTTCGATCATTTTCGATCAACAATTTTACAATTTGAGGTCCGGGATTGAACAAACGATTCTAGCTCGACTTTCCCTGCAGATCTTCTCGAAATTCCCCCCACAGCGTCCCCGGTTTCCATGAGATTTCCCCCAAATGTTTTCAGTTTCAAAAGATTTGAACATTTCTCTCCGAAAAATCCCCTTTCTTCCATAGAAATCTATTGCAAAATCCCTCCTCCAATTATGTATTTTTTGTCGAACTCCCACCCGTTTGGCATTCTGAATTTTCTCTTAAAAAAACCTTGAATGGCTTTTCAAAAGTCCTAAAATCTCAAAAAAAGCCCAAAAAGCTCAAAATGACTTATAAACATCACTTTTTAAAGCAATTTAACATGTTAAATTGCTTTAAAACATGTTAAATTGCTTCAAAAAAATCCGAAAGCTGTTCATTTTCCTATTTCAAACAGTTTTTAAATTCAAATCTCATTATTCGGTAATCTTGAAGTATTTTGGACGAAACCCGGACCTCAACTTAACTTAACTTACCGTAATAATTCTAATAGAAGACCATGGTCTTCTAATTTTCAACCCCTTCCCCAAAGGGTCTTCTATTAGAGACTGGTCTTCTAATAGAGACTGGTCTTCTATTTTTCAACCTCCCTTCAAAAGGGTCTTCTATTGGAGACTGGTCTTCTAATAGAGACTGGTCTTCTATTAGAATTATTACGGTAACTTAACTTAACTTAACTTAACGAAAAATTCAAGTTTGTTCGCCCCTTTCACAATTTTGGATGTTTAACAGTTTTGGCTCATTATTCTCATTGTCATTATTCGGTAATCTTGAATCTCATTCGGTCATTATTCGGTAATCTCATTATTCGGTAATCTTGAAGTATTTTTGACGAGTGTTTAGCAGTTTTGGCTTTCAAACTTTCAAACTTTCAAACTTTCAACTTTCAAATGAGTAAGAGTTTAATCCCGGACCTCAATCTCAAATTAACTTTTATCCCGGACCTCAACTTAACTTAACTTAACGAAAAGTTGTTTCGTTTGTTCACCCCTTTCACCCCTTTCACAACTTCTAGACGATAGAAGAGATTCATCACTTTTTCTACACACTTTACTTGCTTGAAGAAAACGAAAAAAAGACGACTAAACAATAATTTTTCATCTTCTAGGGTCGCCCGTCGCGGTTTTTCTCTCTTTTTTCGGGAGGTTGACCCGTTTTGGTTTATTCAGTCACCCCGTCTTTTCCCAAATTCCCATGGGTTAACCAAAAAAGAAGTAAGCCTGAACATTTTGTTTACGGTTTTCTGAAAATCGTGTCTTTTGAAAGTCTTTTTTGCACCGAACCGCCGACTTTAACTCTCTTTAAACCCTCGAAGCACTCTTTGAACCGAATCCCCGATTTCTTTATCCATATTTTTTTTATATTTACATACGATAATTCTAAAGCTAGATTATATAGTGTTAGGTTGGCTAGAAAGTTCGTAGAAAAAAAGTTTGCACAATGATTTCTCAAAAAACCAAGCCATCAATTCTTTCCAGATTTAGATTATTCTAGATTCTAGATTAATGTTTACTAAATTTGATATTCCAAAAATCGATTTATCAAAACTCGATCACCAAATTTCACCAAAGTCAGATCCTATTTGGTTAGCAAGAAAGTTCGTTAGGTTAGAAAAGAGTTTGCACAGTGATTTCTCAAAAAACAACCCATCAATTCTTCCCAAATTTTTTGATAAACTTGAATATATTTCAAAAAGTTTTTGACAAACAAAATCAGAGTGAGCTTCAGGTAAAAAAATAAGAGATTTTCTTCAGCTGAAGTGACTTGGTTTCACTTTTTGAGTGGTCAACCTTTAGACAAGTTTTTAATGGGTTAATGAATAGGCAATTGGTCTCATTCAAAACCTAAAATCAAGTACTTAAAATAGGGAAAATTTGTGATAAAGACAAATTTTATGTAATGCTTTAACTTTTCAGAAAAAACTATTTTAGCCAACACTCAGTGCCAAGAAGATGACACGAAAAAATGATTTTTTGAAATACAGCTTTCTTAAAAATTTTTGGCCAGAAACAGAGATTATAGAACGTATTCCTCATTTATTCATTTATGCTAGCACTACCTCATAAGGAATCGTTTTTTCTGACGCAAAAAGTGAGCTGAATTTAAGCTGGAAAATAATAATTCTTTCAAAAATCTCTAAATTTTTACGGGAAAGCTGCACTCATTTTTTATTTAATGCTTTAACTTTTCAGAATGAACAGCATTTTAGTAAACACTCAGTGCCAAGAAAATGACACCAAAAAATGATGTTTTAAAATACAGCTTCTCTGTAAAAAATTTTTTGGCCAAAAATAGAGATTATAGAGCGTATTGCTTATTTAGGCTAGCTTTACCTCATAACCAATCGTTTTTCTAATGCAAAAACTGAGCTGAATTTAAGCTGGAAAATAATAATTCTTCAAAAATCTCGAAAATTTTATGGGAAAGCTGTACTCATTTTTTTACGAGTAATATTTTTGGAGTCGACTTGTAAATAATAGAACAAAATGTTCTTGAATTGGTGGATTCGTTTTGAAGAAATTCCAGTCTAACTTTTTGCGAGAACTTTCTTTCCAACTTAATATAAATAAGTACATTGTACAAGTATGTACGAGATACTAACAACGAGACTCTACAGTAGTTTTCTGTTAAATAATTTGCAAGGAATGATCTAAACTTGATTGTTTTAAGATAAGCTGTGACTGGAAAGGCTCATGTATTTAGTTTATTTAGTTAGTATTTAGTTATTTAGTTATTTAGTTATTTAGTTATTTAGTTATTTAGCTATTATTTAATTTATTTAGTTAGTTATTTAGCTTATTTAGCTAGTTATTTAATTTTTAAATAATAGAACAAAATGTTCTTGAATTGGTGGATTTGTTTTGAAGAAATTCCAGTCAAACTTTTTCAGAGAACTTTCTTTCCAACCTAATAGTTTCTTAATATTTTAATGACTGAATGATTCTTCTTTGAAGTTTTTAAACTGTGAAGCTTCTTCAAATCCCTATACCAAATCCCTATTCCAAATCCCTATACCAAATCCCTATACCAAATCCCTATACCAAACCCCTATACCAAATCCCTATTCCAAATCCCTATATCAAATCCCTATACCAAATCCTTATACCAAATCCTTATACCAAATCCTTATACCAAATCCTTATACCAAATCCCTATATCAAACCCCTATTCCAAATCCCTATACCAAACCCCTATTCCAAATCCCTATATCAAATCCCTATTCCAAATCCCTATAAACTCTCACTAAAGAAACTTTTTATTTCGATAATTTACAGTATTTTTTTAATAAACTAATTTATTGAATATCTTTTAGATTTACAGAAGAATTATCTTATAGTAAAAACAAAAATGAACTTCGACTCTGAGGTGGCGCTGGTTGAGGAGGAGCTTGGTGAGTTTAAAAAAATATAACTTGAAAAAAACTTGAACTTGAAACTTGAAAAAATAACTTGAAAAATCTAAGTGTTTATCTAGATATTTTTTATAACTAGAGATCTAGATTACTTATTTATTTATTTCTTTTAGTAAAGTTTGATCTCAAAAACGAATTCCCAGGTGATTTGCACATACAACGCGTTGCTGCGATGTTGTTAAGCCCGTCGCCGAGGGATTGCCAACTCGTTCACGAGATACATCGAGAAGTTTGATTTATTTAATCAACAAAAATCGATAGTAATTATTTATATTATTTATTTTTGTTACCCTAAAGCCGCGAGTATAAGTTCTGTTTGGTTTTCGCATGCAAATTGACGGCTGTCTCCGGTGCGGTGTGTCGAGGGTTCGAACCCCGCTGCAGCATAACTTTTTTGCTTTTTAAGAACAATAATAGAAGTAAATTTATTGAGGGTTATAGCAATTTTATGCTGTTATTTGTTGCTCCGGGCGTGGCTCGGCGCCTCCGCCCTCCTCCTCTCCGGTGCTCAGTTTTATGGATCCCTCCCTGGCCTCTTCATCCGGCCAAAGTCCACGTCGACGGCCGAAAGAGATGCTTTCCAGCGTCTTCTTCAACACTATCGTCTGGATGTGTCCATGCACATAACAAATAGCAATGGTGATAGGCTGTCACCCTGTAGTATCCCGCGCTCCAAGTACAATGATAAAAGTTTATATAACAATAAAAACCCAACAAAAAGAAATTCAAAGCAATTAAAGCGAATGTAAGGCAGAACTTATACTCGAGACTTTAGGGTATTTATATTATCTATCTAAACATTCATTTAGACCCAATCAGCTTTTGATCGAATCCATTCGAGAAGCCTTTCCGTTGATCGAAAAGCGAAGAAACACGCTAAAACTCTGGATCCAGAAAGCAGTAAAGGTTAGCTGAATATCTTGATTTTATATTAGAAATAGATTACTTTGGAAATATTCAGTTAATTAGAAGTCTAACAGGTAATTTTCTTTTTAGCACCCCCATCAACTGCTCGAATCTCACCGAAAAACTCATTCAAACAAAAAACGTTTAAACTTCCGCAAAAGGTTTGAGCAAAAAAATTATATAGATTTAAAAATTCGACTTATATCTATCAATAGATTTATAGCTTATATCTAATATCAAATATTTAATTTAATACCGTATTTTCTCTAATAGTATGCACCCTGAGTGTCGCCTAAATTCCTCGAAATCTCGAGAACCGCTTATCAGGACCTATCGATGTGGGCTCGGAAAATGTAGCTGACGATGAGATCTAGTGGGGGATTTGAGTGTTGAGTTTCTTGGGAAAACTTGGAAACCGTAAAATAGTCGCCAACTCGGCTCGCCTGGGTGCACTACTATTAGAGAGAATACGGTATGCTACAAGACTCAGTACAAAACTAAAGAAAGTTTTACGTACAGTGCCCAACGTCTAGACGCAAGTACGGTATCCCACGACAAGTACCGAAATACCGGCTGCCGTATTCTCTCAAATAGCAGTGTACGTTGAAAACGACCGTTGAAACACCCTGAGCGTCGCCTAAATTCCTCGAAATCTCGAGAAACGCTTATCAGAACCTATCGATGTGGGGTCGGAAAATGTAGCTGACGATGAGATCTAGTGGGGGATTTGAGTGTTGAGCTTCTGTGAAAACTTAGAAACCGTAAAATAGTGATCAACTCGGCTCGCCGGAGTGCACTACTATTAGAGAGAATACGGTATATCATATTCTTTATATGAATCGATCAACTGATCCATATTTGTCTATTTCTATTTTCTAAAATACGGTAATCCCAATTTTAGCCCGTTCTTTTACGCGATCCCGTAAACCCGGCAAGACGACCGTTGAAAGCCTAAAATGTACTTTTCTATGATTTTTTTTTGATTCAAAACCCTTTCAATACGAGTAAAACCAATTTGTAAATAGTAAAATGTCGTACTTATTACAAAATTATTAAATATATTTTGTATATTATCTTTTTCAAGCAATCTATTTCAATTTTTATACCAGAAACATGTCTTTTTTTTGGTCTACTAAAGCAATTTTTGATACAAAATCACAGATTCCCGTATAATTGAATATATAAATAAAAGAAATTTGAATAAATTTGAATAAATTTGAATGAATTGACATAAATTGACATAAATTGACATACATTTACATACATTTACATTTACAGAACTACAGTAATGGGGAAAGACATCAATGGGGAAAGACAAAAGTTTTGAGCACCAAAGTGAAGGCAATAAAATAGAGGAAAGGAATGGGAAAGATATGAATTCGAATGACTAATGAAATCAAAGAAAATCCCAATGTTTACAGTAATCGGAGAGCACAAAATAGGAGAATGAGAAGCGAGAGAGTTACTGTAGATTGGGATTTGGCGAGTTCGGCTTCTTTTGCCGCCCATTCGCGTTGACGAGCGTCAAGATCGTCGCTGGGAAGGCCACTGAAAGAAATTTGAGGTTTTATATAGTATTCAAATAGATATACTTACCGTCATATCTGTAATTACTATACTATTTTAACTTGTTTAACTTTACGACTTACCGTAGCCTTTCTTTTTCTCTTTCGTCTTTTCTAAACGGTGCTAGAAAAGACTACGGTAATCCCATCTTTTTGAAAAAGAATCAGGGTAGACTAATTTCCGCAATTTTATAACTTTCTTCTCCGTGGGCCAATCTTTATGCTTTTGGTGTCATTTTGTTGCACTTGTTGAGATCTACAAAATGACACCAAAATCATAAAGATTGGCCCACGGAAAAGAAAGTTACGGCGAGTCGCGCAAAAGATCTAGTTGCGGAAATTAGCCTACCCCAAAAAATCAATTTACGCTCTGTTCAAGCTATTGGATTCTGAAAAGTTTCTATAATCTTGTATTTACTTTAATCTATAATCTATATCTATATCTCTAATCTATATCTCTAATAATCTATATCTATAATCTATATCTCTAATCTATATCTATAATCTATATCTCTAATCTATATCTATAATCTATAATCTATAATCTATATCTATAAATATATATCTATAATCTATATCTATAAATCTATAACAAACGTGATATCAACAGATTGTCTCTCCTTTTCCTTGAGTTGATCCAATTCCGATCGAATATCAATCGAATCGGGCACTGGACCTTTTTGCACAAAACCGCCGAACTAAAATAATTTGATAATAAATTTTGAAAGTTTTCTTGCAACTTTGCACCTCTTGTCTAGGCAGATTGTTGCCATTGCCCAAATTGTCTTCTTCATTCTCGTCATTGCTCTCTTCAAGTCCTTTTCCATCGCTTGCGTCCAGAATTTCTCTAAATTATTTTTGAGTTTTTTAAAATCGAAATTCCTAGTTTCGTGTTTCCAAACTCACTTGTAGATTTGTGTCTGTTCGAATAGGGTTTTCTTGTTGCAGATCTCTCCAGTGCAAATACAGAAATTGACGAGTCCATCGAAAGCCGATCCACATCCGCTTTCCATCCTGAAATTTTGTTTTTACCAACCAATTCTTTACCAGAAATGGAAACGTGGGAATTTACTGACTTCTCTTCCGGGAATTCTGTCTGGAACTCTTCTTTCGAAGTGCATTTCTTTTCGAGAGTATATAAACCTAAAAGTTGTTTACTTTTTCACAGCCAACATTGCTCACCAGTAGCCAATTGTGTCTGCTTCGTGATACAATAGTTTTGATCAGTGTCCCCGTTGCTCTTTGCACAGTCAACAGTGACCGGATTTTTACAATCAGCTGTTGGATCGGTGTTCTCCATTTCGGAGCACATTGTACAATGAAGTGAAACCTAGAAAATATGCAATCTATGAAGTGCAATAATTTTTTTTTCTAACCTCTCCTGAAGACGTGATGATATTCTTCGAAACATCGATCACATTTGCTGGTTTGATCGGTTTTGGAAGTTCAGGTACTGGCTGAAGAGTTATATTTTGAAAAATGATCATAAAATAGTTGTAACCTGTAGTTTGTTCAGTGGTTGAGACGCGGATGAGACTGACGCGGGTTTTGTTGGAGTTTCGGGTTGATTGATTGGCTGAATTGGAATCAACGGAGCCTGTAAAGATCAAAGATACAATATAGACATTTTTGTAGAGATAAAATGCTAACTGATAAACAGGTTTACTGTAAGTTAGCAGCTAATTTCGATTACCTCCGGCATCCGTTGAATGGAAAATCTAGGTGGGATCTCGGCGCTTTCCATTCTCTCATTTGAGCTTACTATCGGTTGAACTGGTGCTGATTGTTTAGATTTAGATGAGATCTAAAATTTTCCAATAAATCCCAGCTCAAAAGCATTTTAGCTGCTAACCAGCTAAAATGTGGCTAACCTGTTTGAGGATCGGATCTCGATTGCACTCGTTTGTGTTGCAAACACAATAGCGAACCTGGAAAGGTTTAAGTTTGTGCCTTTTGGTGATAGTTTGGGCTACAAGTCAGCCATGTTTCTCTGCCAAACTTTGAACTCTTTAGTTTCCTCTGAATTCTTTAGATTTTATTGTTTAATTCTTTAGATCTCAATAGAGTTCTCTGTCTCTAAACGGACCTTTCCTTGATGCGCCTCTGCACACCCTCCCTTCACTGCCGCTTCTCCATATTCATTTTGTAACACGACCGCATTCACGCACATCTTCTCCACCGCGTTTTGGCCTGTAATCTTTTTGACTTAACTTTGAATTTGGTGCAAACCAGGCCCAATCATGATTTGTCTTGTAAAGCATAGAGTGTCCGTCCCAGCACAGTCTACTATGTTCTGCATTGGGCAGTCGGTTTGCTCATCCTGAAAATTTGAATCTTAAAATCTTAAATCTTAAAACTTAAAAGCTAAAATAAAACTATTATCGTGTTTGCTTAGATTTCTTACCGGCAACATGCCTTGACCACATTGAGCGCATTTTAGGATCGATGGTGGAGCCACAGGGAGTACTGGGGATGGGAGTGGGGCTGAAAAGGTCAACATTGACTATATAAAGTAAACAGAATATGTTTACAATAAAGAATTTGTTTTTTTAGCATTTACAGTTAGCTCTTAATATCCTTTCCTACCTTGCTTCACTCCAAACTGTTCGGATCGTGGGATTTGTTGAACGGGCGATGATGGGATTTGTGGTGATTGCTCGAATCTCTTTTGTGAGATCATCGATCCATCCAAGGCATTCGTCGAGAAGACGAAGCCAGATGGCCTGGAAATATTTAAAATATAAAGTACTCATAATTTTTGGTAGCGTTTTGTTTAGATACTTTGACAAAAATGCAAAAGATAAGGTAAAACCGGTACTTGTGGATTATCCGGGGGGGGGTAAAATTTTAAGATCCGGGGTAAACTTTCAAAAACGCGCTCAGAATATAGCATTCTGAAAAAAAAACTTTTGATAGTATCCTAGTTGGGGGACCACTTTTTTCTTCAAAACCACATGTGGGTTGGGCATCTGCCGGACCCACATCAACACATAAAACTACCTCAAAAAATGGTTTTGAAGAAAAAAAATGACCCGCCAACTAGGATATTACCAACATTTCTAATAATGACATAAAAAAATTTTGTAGAAGTTACGTTTTTGATCGAGTATCACCTCGAATCACGTAATCAAGTAATCACCTCAATAAATTGAATATCTTTACATTTGAAGGGAATTTGCCACCAAATCACTTAAGCGGCTGAATATCTTTAAAAGGGGTCGTGTATAAGGTATATAAAATTTTACTCCCCCCCCCCCGATACTCCACAAGTACCGGTAAAAACCTATACCCCACAATTACCGTACCTCATTGGTTTGTCTTTTCTAAATTGTGCGCGCTTTTTGGATGGGAATTGATGTTTGATGGAAATTTTCATTTCATTCCCATTTCTCAACTGACATCGAAAAAAACTTTTCGTATTGAGAAATTTATCTTTGATTGCATGGCTGCATGCAATTTAGAAGTAAATTAGTGTAATCCTCTTTACGAATGCTACCTCTATTAGATCTAACGTGTTTCGATGCTCTAATGTTTTCTCAGCTTCACCTAAACTTTAGTTTTCATGAAACCTAGTTGCATTGCTTTTGATGGCATATTTGATCAAAGTAGTACCCAAAAAGAGCTGACGTTTTGATTAGCTTTATGTTTTTGCCCTATCTTTTCTGCTTGGTTGTTTCTGTTAACTTTTTTTCTTTAGAATGTTTAAAAGTCGAAAACCGTTGAAGAAACGAGAGAAGATCGTCGACGGCGTTTTGGAAGACGCAAACGGATTGAAATGGCTTGTCGATGAGGATGGAGTGGAAATAATGTCTGATGTAACAGATGAATCGACGACGGACGAGTCGACAAATGGAGAACGAACGAAGGCGAGGAGGCCGAGAGTGAAAGTGGACCACGTCGAGCCGATGATCTCGAGAAGAAATCGCGTCTTGTTCAATAAAGTTACTCGGGAATATCAAGATGTAAGTGATTTAATGGTTACCTTTTTGAGACCACAACTTTGTGTTTGGTTTAGCATAGTTGACCTTATGCTCGTATAGTCTCACCCCTATTCTAAAGATACTCAAATGCAGAGAAAGCTCATTAGTGAAGGAAACTACCAAACCATCGCAAATTTTTGTATTTAGACGGTCGAAAAAGCCGAGCAATCGTTTGTGAAGAAGTGGCGAGAAAAAGACGATCCGAGACCCTATCCAAAGAAAATTCGAATTTGTGAGCAAAATTTCTTGGGATATTCCTGCATTTTAACTCAAACTTAATGCCAAAAATTTGGTAATGCTGTCCTTTGTTTTGTTTTGAGTTTTGAGCCAAAATTTTGACTGCACAATCTGGGATCATTTTAGGTAAAAGAAAATGCTAAAAGGTCATAAAAAGCACCAATTAAAGTTTAATTTAGGCAACTTCGAGATCTACACTTGGTACACATCGCTTTATCCACTCGAGTGCGCGGCAGCGACCACCCTCCGCATATGCGACTTTTGCCTGCGCTACTTTGTCGAGGAATCTCTCTACCAGGCACACGTCTCTACATGTCAATTGAGGCATCCACCAGGAGACGAGATCTATCGAAAAGATGGCATTTCGGTCTATGAAGTGGGTTTTGGAGATTTAAAAAATATCTACGATAAAAAGACCAAAATGGGGTTATTAAACAACTTAACTTAACTTATTAAGCAGCGTGACAGTTCTTTAAAACGTTTCAAATTTAAAAAATTAAAACATTTCAACGTCACATTATTTTTATTTAGGTGGACGGCTACCATGAGAAAGATTATTGTCGTCGAGCGTGCTTGCTGGGGAAATGTTTTATCGATTGCAAATCTTCCGTCAACGGCGGCCCATTGTTTCTTTTTTACGTACTCTCCTGAAACGACCAGTGAGGACAACACTTTGTTGGCTACTTTTCAAAGGTTTGAGTTTCTGAATTGCTGATTGACTTTGTTAATAGAGCCGACTTTTCATTTTAGTCGAAAGAATTTCATGGGAACGCGCTCTCTTGCATCGCCATTTTGCCATGCTTTCAGGGGTGTAGGTATGGGCATTTCCTTATAGAATTAAGTGAGTTATTAACTTTTGTTACTTCTATCAGCGATTCAGGCTATTGTCTCATGCAACGACAGGGTTTAAATGGAACTCCTGAACGACCTCTCCACTTTGAATCCAGTTAAAATATCGCATACATGGTCTGTATTAGCGTTCGAAAATCTTGGAATGGTTTAGGCAAAGAGAAGGGGCCAATTGCCGAAAGGAAATGAATCTTTATTGTTGGTAGTTTTTGAAAATATAAGCATAGCATCAATCAAAAGTTGTGTTGGCGCAACGCTTACTAGAAAAAATTGATTAACTGAGCGGCGCGTAATAATGTCAAAGGAGAGTAGCTACTATAAAAAAAGTTACAAGAAATTCATATTTTTTAACTTAATCAACAAAACTTTAGGGGATGCAAATGACACCAGGGATTACGGTGGAGGAGTTTGGCGGGAAAGATGGATTTGATGGATTGGTTTGGATCGAGTAAAGACAAGTGAGTTTGAGTGTAAGACTACCATTGATGTTCATTTTAGTCCTGAAGAAGTGGGCAGCATCGATGCATGAAATGGGCCGAGGTCAAACGTGACGCGAAGAACAAACAACCCGGCATAACCTTTGACAAAGATTCATTCAAGGTTTTGGATTTATTCTGGGCAAATGCTCAATCATTACATTATAGTGGACACCTGGCGTTTATGATGCTAAGACTGGGAAACGAGAAAGAACGGGCAAAATGGCTGATGATGAGACCGGGAAATGTGAACGAGTGGATGGAAAAGCTAAGCAGAGCATTGTACAGATCCTTGCTTTTGCGGCGCAGCCAGTATAGAACCGAAACGCTTTGAACTCCGGCGCAAAGAAATACGTCGTGATCAAAGGGCCGCGCCGGGGTGAAAACTGAAGATGAGATTTCTGTTTAATGATGTCTATGATGCACGGCTTTCTTTTCTTTTCGTCATTGATTAATTGTCGATTCAATTAATTAGATTAGATAGATCTTACTAATAAATAGATCAAACAATCATTTAATTTATCCCATAAAAGTAACACGTTTTTAATAAATCAAAATTTTTAGGCAGGATTTGCGGTCGTTCGCGACAATGCCAAGGATTTGGTTTTAATGTGAAGAGTCAAACGTGCACTATGATCGACCATCACCATCTCATGCTTGCTTCAATAGGGTCTGGTTTATTTTGTTTCATTTTTATGCATTTGTCTTTTTAGCCGACGTTCAATAATTGCTCAGCAAGGCCCATTAATTAGATCCTTTAAACGACAATTCACAGATGTTGTAAAGTGGATGGTAAGTACTACTTGATTATCTGAGTCGTTTTCCAAAGTAAAGCTATGTAGATTTTAAATATTGCACTTGTTATGTTTTAGCACGCGACTGAAGGAAAACAAGAAGCGAGCCTGAAGCCTCGAATGTCTTCAATAGGGACCCAAACAGATTTAATGGCGAGTGATGACAATGGAGACGATGTTTTGAGGAGAGCCTCTGGACGACGACAGCTTGACATGTCATTCACAGAAGATGACGTTCAGGACAAGGTCTAATATTTCGACTTTAAGTATTACATTTGATATTATGTTTTAGAACACAAATGAGATCAAGCAAGAAGCAATCTCTTCCTCTTTTTAGTCAACAATATTGGAAATAGTTTGATCATCGATGTAACAGAAAATAAATACTTTTTATGAGACACACCGAAAATCAAAGTATACTAAAAACTAAAAAAGCTGCTTTAAGGGTACTGTGGAGCCATATGTTACTCTACAGTTCATTGCGCGGGCACAGTAGTTGCAAAACCAAGAAACATATTTAAATTTAAATTTTTTGAGGATATTTAAAAAATTACCTCGGTGGAGCAGGGACACTAGCGTCGATTCTTCCAATTGTGGGCTCTGTCTCACCATTTGCCTCCACCACCTCCCCGTGATACTTCCCTTGCTCGGAATAACGCATCGATTTCAGCGGATTCTAAACATGTCATCTCATGGCTTAATCATTGTTTGATAGATATTTATGTCAAATCCAATCTTACCCATGTCTTTCATTTCTTGATTTCCCTCCTCTTCCCTCGACGGCAATTTTTCTCGAGGAGTTTTTAACGAACTAAATTTGGTAAATAATTGAAATTGACAGTTCAGTCATCACAGTTTTAACGAAAGTTTAGTCAAATGAAACAAATATAGTTTTTATGTGCTGAAATTCTCAAGGGAACTTATACCCTCCGGATGGTTGACGGGTAAAATTGGCAATGGTTGTATTTGTGGAGCGCCCAACGCAGCCACATTATCTCCATTATCAAACGATCGCTCATTGTTTGGTGGTGCAGCTCAGACATCGACAAAAGTCTCCTCGGATTCCTCACTCGCGAAAAGTTCGGGATGTTTCTGGAAGAATATTTTTAAACAAGCAAATCATACTGTATTTTGTATTATAATCAGTTTTCGTTGTTTTTAAAATACTAAAAGTGCCTCATTGGCATTATGCAAACTTTCTGATGAACCTGCTCCCGGTGCACCGAACTACTAAACGATCAGTCTCGCGTTGGAGAGATCCCCAGGATCAGCAAATACAATAAGCCACCTCCTGAAATGAGTCTATATTTTAAGCTGCATCTAATATTGCATATCTTTTCACTGAAATCTCTTCGCTCACCTGTCCATCGATATCCACCAAATCGCATTCTTCCTCTAGTGGCACCTCCTTTTCCGGGAATTTCTTGTAGTGATCTGACGCCGAGATACACTCTTTCAGCACTGTATATGTAGCTGAAAAATTTTTGCCTTAATTTTATTTGAATCTCCGATACCATTTTGCGCTTTATGCCTCGTCGTACGACAATAGATCTTCTCGTCGGGACTGAAGCGTTGAGCGTATGTGTCACAAGCGTATGGGAACTGGAAAAGATTTGGAGTTATAAAGATGAAGATTTCTGTCTATTGTCTATAAAGATGAAGATCTATTGTTCAATTATTGTTCAATTATTGATCTATTGATCTATTTTTCAATTGCTCAATCAGTAAGGTCAGGTTGGCCTGGACTTTACTGCAGGCAAATTTCCAGAATCAGTAAGATTGTATTCAACTTGTACTTGCACTTGAAACTCGGTTTTTTCCTTGTAATTCGACTGATTCTGGAAATTTGCCTGCAGTAAAGTCCAGGCCAACAAAACCTGGCAGATTTCCAAAAAATCCTCTTTTGAAACAACTTTGATTTTCCCGATTGTCAGCATTATTTTTTTTTAAATACCTGCGTGGAGCATTCGCCGAATTCGTCTAGATTACTGTCCCCGCAAATGTGACATTGAAGTGTAGAGGTGACTAAAGAGTTTTTTTCACATTTTGACTACTCATTTAGGGGGGTAGGCTAATTTCCGCAATTTTTTAGCGCAACTCACTGTCACTTTATTCTAAGTAGACCAATCTTTATGATTTTGGTATCATTTTGTAGAGCTCAACAAGTACAACGAAATGACACCAAAATCATAAAGGAAATGATCCAAGAGAATTATCGAGGATTGCGCAAAAAAAAAAACACGAAAATTAGCCTACCCCCTCATTTGATTACTTTTGATTTACATTTCCCTCTTCTCCTCAAAAATCTAAGCTAAATCTTCACAACAGTATGGTTCTAATTGAAATTCAAATAAGGGATGCTCAGACGAAAACCCTGGTTCAATATATGCAGATCAAATCAGACGAAAAGACGATCAAATCAGACGAAAACCCGGGTTCAATATATGCAGATATATGGCAATATATTCCAATATATGGCTTTAAACTGAATCTCAAAGGGGAAAATTGGAGAATAATCAAGGAGAAAGGGAACAAGAAATCGATTCCAAAATTTTCCATCGAGCTCAATTAGTTCTTGTCCTTTTAGAGTTTTTCTTTGCCTAAACGAATTTTCATTTTATTGCTCTAAGCATTAAAATTGAAACCAAGGCAGATGAAAAAGTTTTGCGCCAGCGGGACTCAGGGCTCCGCCACATTTTCGCTTAGCGGGCAACTGTGTTCCCCATTACATCACAACAAGCTTGATCTCCTTTACTCCAGGGAGCTAAGTTAATTCCAGAGGGAGCTAAGTTATAGTTAGTTAACCAGAGTTAATTCAACGTTTATTATCGCTCAATTCCCTAGCTAGATCTTCAATAGATCACCAACTCTCCAAAAAAAACTAGTATTCTTTTTGAAACCAAAAATCATCCTGCATCCTGTTTTTTGACAATCTACAACTTTAAGCCGAAAGTCATGACGATGAAAATCCGAAAATCCGAAAATCACGGGTTTTCAGGGGAGAATTTCGACAGGGTTTACAGTTTTTCAGATCTCCTCCTCAGGGGATAGCTGGAATCCTATGTAATGGAGAGAGATCAGGGAAAAAGAGGGAAACTGGTTGTTGGGATAACAGGGAGACAGCGCTAAGCCTGAATATGAGAGAACGAAAGTTTGACCACTACCATCCTTCTCTCTTTACCACATCTCCCTTTTATCCTTCTTTTTTTTTTTGTATTGTTCATTTCCCCCCCTTGTAAAGCTTTCCTCTTTTCCCCCGTTTTGCCATATCTTTTCTGGTAGAGACCGGTCCTCTTTTGAAGATCTCCCCAAAATCCTTTGTCTGCTTATTTCAATATTTCAATGGGGCAACACTTTTCAGGGCAAACCATTGGGAAATCGGATGTTCAAGTAAAAGGCTTTTAGGAAAGATTTGATAAAAGAAAATCTAATAGAAAATGATAATAGGATTAACTCCCAGATCCAGAATCCATTTTCACTTAACTACGGTGGAAATCAGAGACAAATCCTATAACGTAAATACTGTAATAGTACCCCACCCCCATGCAGACGGTGCGGAGTGTTGCGTAGTCTAGCTTTGAACGAGTTTTTCTCGACACTGGTTTATGCTACAATGCACGTTTAGGTATCAAAAAATAGCTGAAATTCAGGGCTATTTTTTGATGCAAATTTCTTACATTTTTTGAAAGTACGGGTGCTTTGAAAAAAAATGAAATACTAAAAACTTTTGCGACTACGCGACTGTACGAGGGGGCTGGGGTACTATTACAGTATTCACGGTAAGTACCGTAACGGTTGGACAAACCAGATTTTTGAAGTGTCTAATGGGAATTGTCTAATGAATTTCGGTACTATATTATATTCCCCCACTACCCAGGCCCCGCCACTTCTCCAATAGAAATATATATTCTCCAAATGTAAATTGGAAGTAAAGCACAAGTATAATTTCGTATACTTAGGGATGACCACACTGCCATTCAACTATTGAAAAACTTGTGGATGCAGCTAAAATGGAGAAATAAAAAGCATATCAGTACCGCTCATCATACAGGGGGGTGGGGTACTATTACAGTATTTACGGTAGGTAAACATCTACCGTAAATACTGTAATAGGCACACCCATTCCGAAATCATTTCATTTTTTCGTCATTTTCACTGTAATAGTTTCCCTATAACTTACCGTAATCTAAGCACTATCTTTTTTTGCATCTATCTACTTTTAGGTTGATTCTATAACGAATATAAAAAGATATAAAAAGATATAAAGAATAGATAATTAAATTGGATAAAATTGAAATAAAATGACCGAGAAAAAAATGAAATGATTTCGGAATGGCAAATAGTCAAATCAACGGGGATGGGACAAATGCGACCTTTTTTCAGCGCACCTGGACATTTGCGCACCTTTTTTTGAAGCTGGAAAAGGCCTTGCGGAAGGTCGTAGAGCTTCGAAAATATTTTTCATAGAAGGGAATCGTAGCTGCGTAGATTCCGAATTTCGTCAAATCAGATCTCGTCAACACGCTGACACGTCAGGTTTTGTTGGGCACAAAAGGCAAAAACTTCGCAATTTAAACGCTTTAATTCCACCAGTTTTTGCCTTTTAGCTCAAATTTGACGTGTCGGCGAGGTGGAGAAAAATGATTTGTCGAAATTCGGAATCTACGCATACGATTCTCTTCTATGAAAATATTTTCCAGAAGCTCAAAGGAAGAACCTAAGGCCTTTTCCAGCACAAAGAGAAATGCGCAAATGTCCAGATTCTCTTTCAAAAGGTCGCATTAATCCCACCCCCCAAATCCTTATAAACAGTTTGTTTGATCAACAGCTTTGTTTGATCAGCAGCTTTCCAACATAAACATTTCAATTTTTTCTTTGAAGCTTTGAAAGATTTGATAAAAATTAGTCTTTGAAGAGGAGTCTACCTGTTGGCAAAAAGAGAAGCAACGCCACTCGTACATTCGCATATCTAAGAAAAAGAGAGATTTCATGAAAATTGAAATACTCATAGTGAAGAAGAAATGAGGATTGTTAAAGAGGACTTTTAGAGTTATTGGATATGGGTACAGGATTTTTGATTTATATAAGTAATTGATAGGCTGATCTAGCTCGAAATTTGATTCTAAATCAACTCTAAAATCAATTTTCATGGCCAACAATATCCTCAAAAGTTGTTGCTGAAAGAAAGTTGAAAAGAAAAGCGCTGATAGATTTTGAGATCGAGATTTCAAATTTGAGTTATTGTTTGAATAAATTAAGATCAACTAGATTTACTTTAACACATTCGTGCTGATCGTTTAGCTTACAACTTAGTCGTCTAGCGTACAGCTTAGT